CACTTTTTAACATTTACCAAGACACTTTATAAATATGTTTTATCACCAAAGACCTATTAATAGCAAACATACTGTGCTTGTAACTAATATATGATTAGTAAAACTAAATCTATGTAAGTATAAATGTTACATAAAAGTAATAATTTATAAGCTGAACTCTAGACACAAACTATTTCAGCTCTGTAATCCTTAATACATCATAAAATGTATATTTTAAAAGTAAGTATTATAAGCATCTGATTTTGACCTGAAATCAAGGCTTGAGTGTGAGAGGAAAAGTAGCAGAAGGAAAAATAATAAACCAGATCATGTTCTGCCAAGAAACACGCTGATAGGAGAAAAAATTGGAGTGACAGAAATGGCACAAATGCTCCAATACTATCTTGTTTTCCCAGTGTTTTAAAATATAATGCAATGTATTTTGAACTTAATTTAACTCCATTTCCCAACAGGGATAAGCCCCCATTTCTACACCTTGAATGTGGAGTGGACTTATTTATGGATTATATTTGTCCATACTTTGTATGGACTGTTCACACACACACATTTATATTTATATATATATAGATATATATATACACACTATATTGTCAAAAGTATTGGGACACCTGCCTTTATATGCACATGAACTTTAATGGCATCCCAGTCTTAGTCTGTAGGGTTCAATATTGAGTTGGCCCACCATTTGCAGCTATAACAGCTTCAACTCTTCTGGGAAGGTTGTCCACAAGGTTTAGGAGTGTGTCTATGGGAATGTTTGACCATTCTTCCAGAAGCGCATTTGTGAGGTCAGGCACTGATGTCAGACTGGAAGGTCTGGCTTGCATTCTCTGCTCTAATTCTTCCCAGAGGTGTTCTATCGGGTTGAGGTCAGGACTCTGTGCAGGCCAGTCAAGTTCCTCCACCCCAAATTTCTCATCCATGTCTTTATAGACCTTGCTTTGTGCACTGGTGCTCAGTCATGTTGGAACAGGATGAAGCCATCCCCAAACTGTTCCTACAAAGTTGGGAGCATGAATTTGTCCAAAAGGACGCCTTAAGAGTTCCCTTCACTTGAACTAAGGGGCCAAGTCCAACCCCTGAAAAACAACCCACACCATAGTCCCCCTTCCACCAAACTTTGCACTTGGTACAATGCAGTCAGGCAAGCACCGTTCTCCTGGCAACCGCCAAACCCAGATATGTCCATTAGATTGCCAGACAAAAAGTGTGATTCATCACTCTAGAGAACATGTCTCCACCGCTCTAGATTCCAGTGGCAGCATGCTTTACATCACTGCATCCAACGCTTTACATTGCACTTGGTAATATAAGGCTTGGATGCAGCTGCTGGGCCATGGAAACCCATTACATGAAGCTCTCTACGCACTGTTGTGCTAATCTGAAGACCACATGAAGTTTGGAGGTCTTTAGCTATTGAAACAGTCTTCATGCCTAGGTGCTTGATTTTATACACCTGTGGCCATGGAGATGTTTGATACACCTGAATCCAATGCTTTGGAGGGGTGTTCCAGTACTTTTGGCAATATAGTGAGTGTATATATAATATATATATATATATATATATATATATATATATACAGTTGTGTTCAAAATAATAGCAGTGTGTTGAAAAAAGTGAATAAAGCTCAAAATCCTTCTAATAGCTTTTATTTCCATACACACAAATGCATTGGGAACACTACACATTCTATTCCAAATCAAAACATGAAGAAAAATATATCAAATTTGTGTTTGTTCCTCTAAAAAAAAAATTGAAGAAAAGTGAATATTAGACTGTTCAAAAAAATAGCAGTGTTTGTATTCTTTTTTACAAACTCAAACATTCACTATATAAACTGAAAAATGTTTGAAGATTTTGCTTTCCTTTGAATCACTTAATTAATATTTCTTTGTATAACCACTGTTTCTGAGAACTGCTGTACATCTGTGTTGCATGGAGTCAGCCAACTTCTGGCACCTGTGAACAGGTATTCCAGCCCAGGATGATTGGACTACATTCCACAGTTCTTCTCTATTTCTTGGTTTTGCCTCAGAAACTGCATTTTTGATGTCACCCCACAAGTTTTCTATTGGATTAAGATCCGGGGATTGGGCTGGCCACTCCATAACGTCAATCTTGTTGGTCTGGAACCAGGATGTTGCACGTTTACTGGTGTGTTTGGGGTCGTTGTCTTGTTGGAACACCCATTTCAAGGGAATTTCCTCTTCAGCATAAGGCAGCATGACCTCTTCAAGTATTCTGATGTATTCAAACTGATCCATGATCCCTGGTATGCGATAAATAGGCCCAACACCGTAGTATGAGAAATATCCCCATATCATGATGCTTGCGCAACCATGCTTCACTGTCTTCACAGTGTACTGTGGCTTGAATTCAGTGTTTGGGGGTTGTCTGACAAACTGACTCCGGCCACTAGACCCAAAAAGAACAATCTTACTTTCATCAGTCCACAAAATGTTGCGCCATTTCTCTTTAGGCCAGTCAATGTGCTTTTTGGCAAATTGTAACCTCTTCAGCACATGTCTATTTTTCAACAGTGGGACTTTGCGGGGGCTTCTTGCAGAGAGCTTGGCTTCACAGAGGCGTCTTCTAATTGTAACAGTACTCACAGGTAACTTTAGAGCTTCTTTGATCTTCCCGGAGCTGATTGTTGGCTGATTCCTTGCGATTTTTGGCTATTCTTCTATCCATTTGAATGGTAGTTTTTTGCTTTCTTCCACGTCTTTCAGGTTTGGGTTGTCATTTTAAAGCATTTGCGATAATTTTAGCTGAGCAGCCTATCATTTTCTGCACTTCTTTATATGTTTTCCCCTCTCCAATCAACGTTTTAATAAAGGTATGCTGTTCTTCTGAACAATGTCTGGAACGACCCATTTTCCTCAGAATTTCAGAGAGAAATGCACTGTAACCAGCATGTACAACATTTGCTGCATTCCTTCCTTAAATAAGGGCAATAATTGCCACCTGTTTTTCAAAGAATGAATGACCTCACTAATAGAACTCCACACTGCTATTATTTTGAACATGCCCCTTTCAATTAGTGATTCAATTACACAGAATCAGCAGCATGCATGTCATGACTGTTGGGTCTGTTGGATTTCCATTACTCTACTACACCTGCTAGTAAATTATTTGCCATGTAGAAATATCATTTCTACCAAAAACAGTGACTGATCAGGTTAGTGATGTCTTAATGCTATTATTTTGAACACAACTGTGTATATATATACATATATATATATATATATATATATATATATATAGTATCTATCTCACTGTCTTGATGACTTTTGGGTTTGTAATCCCTCCTTATTTCCTGACTAGTGCAAATAGAAAGATTTTATTTAATTTCAATATCTGACAACTTTGGTATTTTTCTGCCAAATAAAACAAGTTATTCTTTTTACATATCTTGAATAACTGGGTTTTAATTTAAACCTGTTTTTATCAAATGTAGCCTACATGAAAGAAACATTTAACAGAACATTTTTTTTAGAGTTCAATGTTCAATTTGTTTGGATCTACAGTATTTCTCTTTGCAGTTGGGATTAGTCTTGTGACAAACGTTTTCTCTAGGTGCTTAGCTAAAAAGTAAAAGTCCTTTTTCTCTCATGCTAGACTAGTCTAATTTAAGAAGATCTTTGTATTTGGGATATATATTTGATCAATTCTAAAGGATGTATGGTATGGTAGGGAGATTTAATAGAGGATTTTGATTTAGGGCTAGTAACTGACAGTTTGAGCTTACTTGGCTTCAGGACCTATTGGGAAGGTAATTGAAGGCACAATTTTTATTCTTTTAGATATGTTCTCTATTCCTGTTTCAATTATTATTTGAGGGTTTTCAGTTTAGGGATAGAAAGATTCTCATTCATCTAATGCATTCTCCTGTTCATCCTGCTGCTATGGGCAAGTACTGAGTGCTTCAGGAAATGGCTATACAAAATGGCATGGTGTTGCTGTCTGTAGAATTTTTCTGGTGACATGCTCAAAAGTGTTGGGTGTCATTCAACAGGGACAAAGAATATTGCAGAGTGTTGCAATACAACAGAGGATGCATAAGTAGACTAGGGAAGGCGAGTACTGCTTGAAATTTATTTTATACAGTTGGCAGTTGGCGAACTGATTTAAAAAATAAAAATAAAAAAATACACTGGAGTTGGGTTTTAAAATGAAACTCAGGCATTAACACACATTATAAACTAAAATTACAAACACAAAGAAGACAGCCTAATCTCTCTCCGAGAGAGAGAGAGAGAGAGATTAAGATAACTTGCAAAAAGAAAAAAAAAGGGGGGGAGGGACATGGCTAGGATGCTGGGGAAGATGGTTGCTTAAGCACTGAGGCTTGCTTCATACCTGCTGAAGAAAACAGTCGGTGGCACCAAGGGAAAGGCAGACCGTCACATTCCCGGTCCCCCCGAGGGTCAGAGATGCACTCTGGCCACGGAATACCGGAGATCTTCCAACTCAGCCCAGAGTGGAGGCTGCACCCTTGCAGCGAGCGGGACATGCAGCCCTCACTAGCAGTTTCAGCCCCGCGAGATCTGAGGGCGGTTGCCACAGATATTAGGGAAACATTAACGACCGCATTTCTAAGCTGAAATTAGATGTGCAGGTGGTAGCATCATGGCTGGAAGATATTGAGGGGGTAACCGCCCTCCATGACACAGCAATACAAGATGTCTTTCAGAAAATATAGACCGTAATCGTCTACCACAGGTAGTGCTAGCTAGCTTTAATGATCTGCTTGACAGACCCCCTGATGTGCCGATTGATATGGATCGCATGCATAGAGCTCTACACCCTAGGGGAAGGGATACAGATCCCCCCAGAGATGTGGTCTGTTGCATTGTGAATTTTAAGCTCAAGGAGGAAATATTGAGGAGGGCAAGAAACAGACATAGAATTCTCTATCATGGGGCTGAGGTCAATCTCTATCCTCTCACACATTACGTTACAACATAGGAAAGATCTGCGCCCTCAAAGACTGCAGGTCTGGCCATCACTTAAATACACCTGCATAAGCAGTTTCAGGTGTTTGGCTGACTGCAGGGTTGAGTCTCTGATTGCTGGGAGCACCCGCTGGCCAGCCCTGGTACTGCAGCCCACAAGGCAGGTGAGTCCCACCATTACTGGCAAGTCCATTCCTAACATAAGTAGGTGCAGCAGAGTCAGACAAGCTGGGTCAGGATCAAACGAGCAAATCAAGTACAAGGGAGCAGGCAAGCGGATAGTCAGGGATAGCCGGGGTCGGTGCAGGCGGAGTTCTTTCTTAGTCAGGTCAGATCAGGATACAGGCAACAGAATCAGGTTATGGAATGCAGGACGTTATAGACCAGAAGGCATTGATTACACTGTATTGCAGGTTTAAATAGCCCGCCCTGCGGTGACATGTACGCTACTGCACATGCACGCACTTGTACGCTCCTGCGCATGCGTGCCCGCACGCTCACACACATATGCACTCGCACCGCCGTGGCCCGAGGGGATCCATAGCTGTCGCACAGCTGCAGGATCCCTGACATCAACTGGTTACTCCTCAATTACTTTTCGTGCACTCAAACAAATTAAAATGCAGCTTCACGACCTTCTGCTACATGACTTATGGCGGACGCTTCACCCATACACTAGAGATTACATGTTCTACTCGCCACCTCACCAGCGCTATTTTAGAATAGACTATCTCTTTTTGTCACAAAGAGATCTCCCACTACTGCTTGATGCTACGATTGAAACTGTTAGTTTCAGACCATCATCTGATTACAATGACCCTCCAATTTCCTACTACGCTTTACCACACCAAAACTTAGAGACTTGACTCTTCCCTCCTCATAGATAGTGTCAATGCATCCAAGATTCTTGAAAATTTGTGACAATTTTTCATGGAAAATGGCATGCCAGATACATCCCCGTTGATACTTTATTATTATTACATAGGATTTATATAGCGCCAACGGTTTTTCTCAGCGCTTTACATTACAGTGGGAGACAATACAGTAACAATACAGTTCAATACAAGAGGGATTTGATGGCCCTGCTCCTTGGAGCTTACAATCTAGGAGGGAGGGGTGAATGGTACAGTAGGTAGTAACTGTGGGGGATGGAGTGGTTGGAAGAGTAGAGGATTCCAGAATTAGCAGAGGGCGGGATAGGCTTCCCTGAAGAGATAGGTTTTCAGAGATCGCCTAAAGGCAAGTAGAGTATGTGAGAGTCTGATAGATGGGGGGGTAGGGAGTTCTAGATGATGGGTGATGCCGTGGAGAAGTCTTGGAGATGAGCATGGGAGGAGGAGATAAGGGAGCTAGAGAGTAAGAGGTCTTGCAAAGAGCGCAGTGTACAGTTTGGGTGATATTTAGAGATAAGATCGGTTATGTAAATTGGGGCAGTGTTGAGGATGGCTTTATATGTCATTGTTAGTGTTTTGAATTTTTATCCATTGGGCAACTGGGAGCCAGTGGAGGGATTGGCAGAGAGGGGTGGTGGATACAGAACGGTACAATGGGAAACACATAAATGCGTGCTACGGTGACTTCTTCTTGCATTGTCTGCCTCATGGAAAAAGGCAGCACAGGCTTTACAAACTTCCCTGCTACACACAATACAAAAACTCGAGGAAACCCATAAATGCACACTAGCTCAACAGAATTGCTCAACACGTGTACCAGGTTGTTGGAAGAACTTGGGCACAAAACTAAATGCAAATATGTACTAACACAAAAGCTTTTTTAAGAGCAGGGCAATAAATGTGGCACTCTTCTTGCCAAAGCTTTACAAGCCAAGAAAGCGGTGTATACTATCCATCATGTCCAGTCCCCTAAAGGAGATTTAGTGGTGACCTCTCCAGACATTGTGGCCCAATTTGAGACTTACTATGTAGGTCTCTATAATTTATCCCCAACCCCAAGATCTCTGGGCGACACTTGCCCACGAGAGGATATTTTACATGACTTTTTGACTCAATACTGTTCAAAACCAATCTCACATGCACAGGCTAAGGACATAGACATCAATAATAAAAAAGGAATGCGCTAATCAATACTAAAGTATCACAAAATAATTTCCACCAAAAAATAAATAAATAAATTGATTTCCACCAAAAATAAATAAAAATATGTCTATACTAAATAAATAAAAAATATATCTCTCCACAATTCATATATAAAGACTAACCACCATAACGTGAAAAACAATGTAGCAATCTGTATATAAATAAACATATATAAAAGTCCACAATTCTTGTATGAAGTCCAACCATCATCAAGTGATAACAATGTAGCAATCTTGTATAAATAATCAATACCGTGAAGAAAAAAATCCACCACCAAATGAAATAAATGAACTCACCAGAGCGATATGCTGATCAAATTATAAATCAGCATAATCGCTATTGCTCTGGGAGCGATGATCTGTTTGAAGTATCCAAAAGTATAGGGGCAATACTCTGCAATCAGCCAGCATGGATGAAGAAACTTTATGTCAAGCAAACCTCCTCTCTCTCTCCATGACTAAGGCAATGCTCGGGGGATTAAAAAGAAATATAATGGTGCAGTACGTTTTTTAAAACATAAGTTTTTATTGAATGTCAATTAAACTCACAAAGAAGGTGTTTGAGCCGACACCAGCATAAAGCGCCTCTGTCAATCCCAGGACTAGCCTCGTTCACCGCGGTGATCCAGCCGACAGCCTCGAGGAACGTCCTGAGCATCAATATTAGCTACTGATTTGTTAGAAATATTAGAAGGTTATTATGTAGATTTTTTGTCACTTTAAATATGAGAAATTACGGACATCATTTTTATTGTATGATTCTTGAATTTAGGAATCGGTATTATATACTTGGCGGCGAAGTGTTTTTTATGTGTACTTGTATTTTAATATGTATTTTTATTTTTTAAAAAAGAAGTTTTAATAACATGTCTATACTAAATAAATAAAATATACATCTCTCTACAATTCATATATAAAGACTAACCACCATAACGTGAAAAACAATGTAGCAATCTGTATATAAATAAACATATATAAAAGTCCACAATTCTTGTATGAAGTCCAACCACCATCAAGTGATAACAATGTACCAATCTTGTATAAATAATAGACACCGTGAAGAAAAAATCCACCACCAAATGAACTCACCAGAGCGATGTGCTGATCAAATTATAAATCAGCATAATCGCTATTGCTCTGGGAGCAATGATGTCAGAGCCTGGGATCGAACCTGGTCCTTCTGCAGTGGGAGGCAATGTCTCCTCTCACTGAGCTATCTAGAATGCTGGACAGCTCCCTTGACAATTCTTGGATAATCCTGCCTTGTGCCTTGATTTCTCTTGAACCTTGAACTCCTTGCTCCTCCCATGAACTTCCTTATAAAAGTCATGTCCATGCACTTCCTCCTTGCCAGATTATTGTGCCTTACCAACCAATATCCCACTTACTGTTCCTGCTGCTGTCTTCATCTACATTACTGACCTTTGGCTTGCTACTGACTACGATTCTGCCTCATCCTATCTACTACCATTGGTGACCGACCCTTGGCTTGTGACTGACTCTGCTTCTGTTTGATCCCTACACTGTTTGATCCGCTATTGGCTTCCAGCTTGCTCATTCCCTGGTGGGGTGATCCTGAGATCTGCGACCTGGTATTAATACGCAGCCCAATCCATCTCCACCATTAGGAGCTCTGGTGAAAACCGGTTAATACTTAGACCCCGCACCTCAGGTGAGCCTGCGTCATTCCCAGGGGGACCTGCTGGTGTACCTATCCTGCTGGTTTCAGGTAAGCCTTACAACTGCTGTAGCAACTGGTCTCTGAACCTGACCGCATATCGTGACAGATGATCTGTGTGAAGTATCCAAAAGTATGGGAGCAATACTCTGCAATCAGCCAGCATGGATGAAGAAACTTTATGTCAAGTGAACCTCCTCTCTCTCTCCATGAATAAGGCAATGCTCGGGGGATTAAAAAGAAATATAATGGTGCAGTACGTTTTTTTAAAACATAGGTTTTTATTGAATGTCAATTAAACTCACAAAGAAGGTGTCTAAGTCGACACCAGCATAAAGCGCCTTTGTCAATCCCAGGATGAGCCTCGTTCACCGCGGTGATCCAGCCGACAGCCTCGAGGAACGTCTCGTCAGTGATTCCAAAGGATGGGAAAGACCCCACTGCAGTCAGTAACTACTGCCCAATTTCTTTGCTTAATGTGGACCTAAAGATCTTTGCCAAAATCATAGCCAGTCGCCTTTTCCCAATCATACAGTCACTCAATGCTAAAGATCAGGTGGGATTTATACCTGATAGAGAAGCAAGAGATAACACAATCAAGGCCATCAACATCCATCTTTGGTTATCCACCCCTAACTGTCAAGGCTTTCTGCTTTCTCTAGATGCAGAGAAGGCATTTGACAAGCTGGCGTGGGACCTACCTCTTAGCGGTTCTGCAACATCTGGGCTTAGGTAATAGTTTGCTGAATTTCATCATGGCACTTTACGCAACACCCACAGTTAAAGTTCGGGTTAATGGACAAACGCCTTCATCAGCAATGGTACCCAACACCCAAACCTTTTCTGTGGCGTCTAAGATTGAATGAGAACATCAAAGGTGTAACCATATTGGATAAAACTTACAAACTAGAAGCATATACTGACGATATCCTACTCTTCCTAACGGAACCCAAAACTACCCTTCCTAACTTACCACATGACTTCCACTTTTTTCAGTATATCTCCAACTTCATAATTAACTTTACTAAATCTCATGCCCTGAATGTTACCTTGTGTTGTCGGGAGAACTTTCCCTTTAGTTGGCAAAACAACGCTATCACGTATCTGGGCATACAACTACCTAAGCACTTATCTGAGCTATATAACAAGAAATATCTCCCACTCCTGAAGGCTATTGAGGAAGATCTTCACAAATGGAACAAACATATATTCTCCTGGTTTGGCCGTGCGGTGATTTTTAAAATGAATGTCCTCCCACTTTTGCTTTATGTCCTGCAGGCTGTACCCATCGCACTACCTTCACTATTCATACGCTCATACCAGCAATTTTGTACTAAGTTCTTGTGGCACGGCAAACATCCACGCATTAGCTATAGTCTACTCAACCTTCCAAAATCAAAGGGGAGTATAGGCCTTTCCGGACCTACAATATTACTACTGGGCTTGTCACTTATCAAGAATTGTAGACTGGCACGTTCATGGGGGGATTAAAGATTGGATTCACCTTGAAGCTTCTTTTTTAACGACTCCACTGAAAGCCCTTCCCTGGCTTAAAAAGTCACATCTAACCAATGTGTTACAGAACCATCCCCTGATTGGACTGACCATTTGTTGTTTTCACCAGACATGCACAAAAACAGACATATTGTCATCTCCAGGTCCCATGACACCTATCAAAGGGAACCCGGACTTTATACCAGGTCTGTCCTCACATTTTCTGGCAGGGCTCGAACAGCACGAGGTTCCTAGAGCCCATCAATTTTTTGCATATAATGTGCTTATGCAAAGAGAACAGCTGATAACGTGAAGGCCTGAAGCGG